CAAATTTCATCGAGATCCGTTGAGCCGTTTAGGCTACAAACTCTAACAAACATCCATCTAAACTTTCGCATTTATAATATTAGTAGGAGTAAGAATAATGATGATGTCAAGTTAATGCTACTCAGAGACAATGTAGCATTTTGGTCAAGTAATTTTTTCTAATAACTCCAGTACTTTTTGAGTTTATTCGTTACAAACATACGCAATCTCTACACTTTATAATATTAAATTAAAAGTGTCTATAGACGTAATGACCTTCGATGGTTATTAACATTTTGTTTTACCAAATTAATTTCTGTGTGTGGTTATTTTTCAATAATTTCAAAAATTAGATATAATTCTTACAAAATAACGACACCTGAGTATGATGACGTCATAGGGTATATTTTTACTATGCCGGGAAATTGGACCGTTGAAGCTATTTGTATCAATTATCTGTACTAAATTTTTAATGCGAACTAGAGGGATATTGCACAGTGGGTTCATTAATGTCATTTTTTTCAATTGACCAACTAATACATGATTGTTTTCTAATTATGATTAAGTACTTAATTGTATAACTTGCTTGTTGGTCATTCATGTTTGTAGTAAATGGAGAATTGGTCAGTCCTTTTACGTCAGTCTCCGTCGCGGCGCGTTCGGTAGTGTCCGCTGGCAGAACCTGTTTGTAAAAAAAATATTTTTCATGTCTTCACCATCAAATCTTTATATATTTGATAACGTTATTTGATAGCTATAGTATCTAGTTTTTTAAGACTTAAAAATCTTTTGCAAAGTTTTTTTTTAAATCGAAATACCGAGTTCATCATACTAATATTATCTTTTTAATATAAATTGTGAATGTTAAAATATGTGGCTGTGGGTAGTTAATATGCTAGAACCCATAAATTAAAAAAAACAATTTTATTATGTTGAAACAAATTTTTACTATGGTTGAGTGCTGAATTTAAAACACGAGTCTACGATTTATTTTAGGTAAGTTTTTAATCGATTTAATGCTTATAAAAAAAACCTAAAATATAAATACATTGGACAAATTACAACAAAATGAAGTTACATTTCACATCGAGCTGAAAATTAAGCGAATATACTATTTTTAATAAAAAAAACTTGATTATAAATTGACCAATAGGTTACCACTTACAAAAAAAATATAAAATGTGTATTTTTTAATAGTAACAGGTAATAAATAAGCAAGTGGCCACTGTAATTCGCCAAATAGTGAAGTGACACATTCGGTTTTGCGTTGATACCTTAAAATTTTAAAAACTAAAACACTAATCTTAGTATCTTAATCTTAGTAAGACTTACTTATAATTGAAATACTATATTGCAATACTAAACAAGGGTTCTATTCCGATTCACATCTATGGTATCGGTAACCTAATACTCTAGAATTTGTAAATACAGGTAATATAGACACTAGGGGGGAGCTTTGTCCCTTAGTAACATGTAGAAAGATTAAATAATGTGTGTAATGTGCCTCCAATCCCTAGACTCCATAGATAATTCAAAAACTTGTGAGTTGTTCATTTGTAATGGTACCTCATGTTCCGTATTCTGGTTGGAATGAAAAAAAAATTACTACTAAAGGGAGGGGAGGCTTGATCAACGGCATCTCCACTCCCTAGACCATTATCTGACGATGACAGGTTAGGACAAATTCGATGTCATACTATTTACTAATACTAATATTATAAATCAGAACGTTTAGATGGATGGATGGATATTTGTTAGAGTTTACAGATCTCGATGAAGGCACAAATTTAGAACATAGCTTTGACGATATAGGATAAGTAGTTCCTTTTTTAAATCCAATTCGAACAGAGTTAGGACAGAAAAAAACATTAGAATTTCGAAAAAAAGGGATTTTTGCATGTTTTTGCTTATCTCGTAGATTAATCTGCACAATTCGTATCATTTACAATTACATCTCCGATTATTAGCAGTCTTACATCCAATTAGTATTCAGTACAAAAGGACATTGCTCTATATTCACAAGGGGAACGTAAGGTCACATAACTAAAGGATATTTTAGCAAATTGTAACGTGTTTTATTGTACCTCATGTTGCCTGATTAAGATCTTGGGAGAGTAATTTTTTTATATGTTTACAAGTTTTAAGTCTAAAACCCGCAACAGATGATAAGTACTGATACTTCAACTCTTGCGTTAAAAATCAGAACTGAAAGTTTGTAGCTGGCTTTAATTTTTTTTTCATAATAATAAGCAAACAAGCAAGTGACCACATGAATCTACCGAAATGGAAAACGACCGCTGCCCATAAACATCCGCAATTAAAGATGCGTTGCCTACCCTTAATTGACGGAGAAGGAGACGCACATAAAGAGGACATTTCCTCTTCCTATGCGTCTCCTCCACCGTCAAATCCACTTTTCCTTTCCATCCTTTCCTCTTAAGAAAAGGGTGGAAAGGGATAGGGACTTAAAATAACAATGTCGAACGAATTACAACAAATCTTTTTTTTACATCTCTAATGTGAAATATTGAAAAAATTATATTTCTAGTGTTGTATGACTTTTGAATTGAAAATGCTTTGAAATTGTACATTTTGAAAAAAGAAATCAAACAGAATCAAGTCAAATCAAACAAAACAGACAGAAAAGAACAGAAACGGGAAACATCCTCTTTATGTGCATCTCCTCCTTCGTCGATTAAGGGTAGGCAACGCATCCGCTATTGTGAATGTCTATGGACAGCGCTTCGCCATATTGGCGGATTCAGGTGGCTGCTTGCTCGTTTGCCACCTTATGACATTAAAAAAAAAATTAAACAGATGTATATCTTATGAAAAAAACCTCGATTTGAAGACATTATTTCAATTAGGTTTGTGGTAAAATATTCATTAGCTATTAAAAAACAGTCATAATCTTAATAGAGTTATAAGTATTCGAGTTTACAATTTTTTTAAACAAATAAAATTTACTTTTTTCTACTTAAAATGTAATTATGATAAAGGTTTTTTTCTTATTTAATTACTTTTTAATTGTAAAAAGTAAACAGCGATAAAAAAACGCCTTATGTTCTTAATAGATGTCGCATAATGGACTGTACTACTCGTAAATTGTTAAGACATCATTCTGCAATCCGGTAATAATAACGAAGTAACGGCTCGTGCCGAGGCTCCTGAGGGAGCCCTCGAGCTCAGTTACTCATAAACGAGGTTTAGGCTAAGCGCCATCTGCGCTCGGCCACCTCAAGCCCGGTGAATCTGTAAATACCTCTTCAAGGCAAACAGTGGCAATTCAGTCACAAAAAAAAAATCATTCTGCCAGCCGACTTGTTTTCGGTAATCTCCGAAATAGTTGACCCGATTTTAAATGGACTTTAATAGGTAGCTGATGTTTGAAATATACAGGCTTATTTTTTTTTTAATTCCACTCTGACGAAGTCTTAGGCCGCTAGTTAACTATTTAATTTTTGTTTCGAATTACGTGAGCTTTCTCAATGCCTTTATTTGCATTTATCTATGGAAAAATTGTTCAAGATTTTAAATATTTGACCGGTTGATCTAAAAGGCATGTAGATTGACCACTCTAATTAGAAAAACACTTTCGACATTCAAGATACCACGTCAATTTTGAAATATTCAAGTAACGCCAGTCTTATACATTACGTTTCAAATAAAGAGTCAATGACCTCGATTTGTCAAAAATTTGCCAGTAAAATTTTGAACAACAAAAAAAAGGATTTTTTGTTTGTCTTTAAACTTCATAGACTTCCAAAATGCTTATTTGTAGTTGAAACGATTTGCTATTAAGAGGTAAACAATAATCTAGGCTTATTATTTGATATTGGCCTCAAAAACAAGCATGACATACTAAAATGCATGACAGTCTATAAACAATACAAGAAACTCTTCTTAAAATAAAGATGGTTTTTTCCAAGATAAAATTTAGGTATGCATTAAAAGTCTACTCTAAAACTAGATAAAACATTCTACAGATTGGAATATAGATTATATTACACGTTTATAGATAAGAGAATCTATCAGACATTTTATTATGGATGTCGATGCGACACGCGACTTTTATATAATTTATTTCGAAATACAATTTTGTTAGAAATAACCTGTTTTAAAAATATGAGATGATAGTCAAATAATTTTCATTTTTATTAAAGGATATGAAATAATAACAACCAGTATCCAAGAAAATTAATAGAATCCATATACAACGAGGATTATTCTTAAAAAAACATCAAATATTGTAAACAACTGGCTTTCACCGCGACTCTGCTCGGGTGGAATTAAAATAAAACAAAAACGAGTAGCCTATGTGTTATTCCAGACTATCCTCTACATCCAAACCAAATTTCATCGAAAACCGTTCAGCCGTTTAAGCTACAAACTCTAACAAACATCCATCTATCTAAACTGTCACATTTATAATATTAGTATGATTGGATGCTTCAAGTAACAACGCGAAAGTACGCTTTAGAAAACAATCGATTTGAAATTACCACAAAAGCCAAATTACGTAAACATTTTAAGGGATAATTGCATAATATTCGTTAACTAACATATTAATCGAACTTGATACTTCCCTTGGAATATCTTTACAATATAACCACTAACCGGTCCATTTGTCTCAATCGTTTTGTATTACAAGATCCAAACTTTATGCGGCTCGTTGTTTAGCACACATGTCATCCCTTAAATTCTCTTTGAGAAAAATAGATTGAACAATATTTGTCTAATAAAATTTCCACTGCAGTCTGCAGTTGAAACCTTTAGTTACTGTTTAAACCTACAAATTATCTGACTCTGTATAAGTAAAACTACTCGTAGATTATGATAGCTCACTTGCGTCCTTCTTCTTCGATCACCAATATTATATTTTCTTGTATATTTCCATCTTTAATATATTACGAAATATACTAACTAACAGATCTAACATCTCCCCGTGAGCATAATGCATGAGGAGGAAAGAGCGGGCAGTATGTTTGTACGAAATTTCGAACGTACATAAAATTTGTATGTTACTATACTTGCCAAACTTGGCGTATTGTATTCCCATACGAAACCGGTTTATGTATTCACATGTTCAACAATTCAGGTTTTTGACAAACTGGACAGATTTTATTTTGTATGAGTATGTCTACTTGGCAACAGAAATCGAGATTATTTAAAATTTCTTAAATGGTGATAAACAACTTTCGCTTTCACTTAACGTTTTAATTGGACTTCTCAATAATAATATTGAAACCCAAAATGTGTTTTTTTTTAATCTGCAAGGAATTTTGAATTCTTTCAACATTGTTTTTGAGATTAACAAAAAGACCTGTTTGCTTCTACGTTATCTTTATTTTCGAAAAGTGAAACTTTTTTTAATATAAATTGTATTTATATAATAAAGAATTTCGATAATCGAAATTTACAGTTTAATTAAAATTGTTTCACACTGTTAACACAGATTAAATAACTAAAGTGTTACTATATTCTCTTTTTGTTTTTTTAATATTTTTTATGAATGTTACCTCATACAGAATTTTACAAAAAAGATTCTTTAACTCAAAGTTAATACTACAAAATAGAAATGTTTATACTTTTTTTGTTTTTTCGGATAAAGTGAAAATCTTTTTAATAGATTTTAATAAAAATCCTTTGCCGATATAAAGTTCATTCAGTAAAGAATGAAACAGATTGCGATTTCTTTCTTCCATATTCATTTACGGTAAGGAAAGTACTTGTAAAGCGGTTTCTTGCAAATCAGGACAAAAATGCAAAATCCTATTTAAAGAACTAATTAGATTTCTTTCTTAGTTAAATACTGAAGCTAACGCTTTAATAAGCTAGCTCAACTATTCTGTGAATTCTTTTCCGGGTTTAGTTAAGAATTTTAATCTGCCTTCATTTTCTTTCTTAAATATAAAACACTATGTTAAGGCGGTTTAACAAATGCCAGTAGATGGCTTATTTGTTTCTAACTTACTCTATTTTATTGGCATGTGTATTCCCGTCCGTATCGATTTTGTAATAGCTACGGTCCTGCAAATTCAGGAAGACGAAATTGAACGAAGACACTGGCACGTACAGTCTTGCGAGCTGGTGTTCCATTTTACTGGTTTGTTAACACATGTGTAGGTAAAGTTCCCGTAATTTTATCGCGAGTGTCCTGTATGGTCAAATATAATGTCACCTCTTTCACTCTTTTGTAAAATTGAGATACAATATTATATACAAATATTATCTTATCGAACATTGATGTACAATCGCGAAGAAAATAATACTCTTTTTTTATTTTTTTTAATTTAACATTTCCTTCACGACTGTACACAGTTTGTAATTTGATCCAATTAGGTTACGTAGATACCACTCGCTTTTTGTTTTCTATCGATATTACGAAATCCTAGTAAATTAATCAAGTGTTACAAAAATATTTCTTTCTTTGACAGTTTAAGACAATGACAGTGGCTTCTGAATAAAAACGCTATTGTATTCTTTACAAGCATCTTTTATCGTCTTATCATATAAAAATAACACTTTTAGTTGTTTATTTGTGTAGCATTATAATAGCAGCTTTATTGTAAATTAAATTATTTTGCACCAAAACTTAAATAGTCATTATATTCCATTCTAAATTAACGTTTAAATTACTAACGCAAATTTACTAAAACATATCGTAGGTAATCTAAGCAATTTATTGACAAAGATGGTGTGTTCATGACCTTTATTTTTTTTCTGTACCTACAACCAAGGTCACTGTTTACGGAAATTGTTCAAAATTAAAAATTCAAAAAATATGACACCAATCGCAGATGGCCCTTTTTATTTTTTTGGTATGGTAGCATGGTATAATGAAATAGTGGAAAAAAACGGTCACGGACACATATTAAAATTTTGAAAAACCTGATTTTGAATTTCAATATTCTCAATTTTAGTTTTCATATATCAAAACTATTTCTTAAGCGAGTAGTCGTAACCCATTTATCTTTAAACTCAAAGCAATAAGGACTATTGAAAAAGTGTTGATAGCTGAGTTAGGTCCAAAAGAAGGGCTACTGTCAGTAATATTTGAAAAAAATATACTTTAAATACTTCTAGTGATGGGAACAGATACCTTCTTGGCGACGCCCATGTTTGCAGCGTTAACTCTTCATTTGGTAGCGTCTACTGTGACGGACAACTAAATAAAAAAATCTGAACTAGTTTACTTTATAGCTAAAAATATGACTATACTAAAAATGTCCCGCCACACTCATCAGACGAAACGCAGAATTGCTCCCATTTCACGCCTGTCTTCTGTGTGGTCGTGGTATTACACCGGGCGAGCCGACCCATTCGTGTGAAGATGTTGAAGCGGGCTCCACCACAGTTAAAATCTGTTTCGAGCATGCAATATGTATGTTTTTTAGTTTAAATTGCCTCTTTTTTTCCAGCAATGAAGATGAAGATCCTTCGTTTATTCGACTCGATGCGTGGATCCGGCGCCGCTGGCGTTCGGCCCACGATCCACCGCGGGCAGTATACTGCTGGAGAGACGAGCGGCGGTTTGAGCGTGTTATTCACAATGTTATGTATCGTGGATCTGTTTGGAGTGTTCCCGGTCGTCGCGCTGCCTAAGAGCGTTATAGCTTGTGGTTTGTAATATGATACTGCTTCATTGATATAAGTACAGTCAGCGACATAAATATGTCGTAATAATATTTCAGAAACCACTATGCAGAACTTTGCACTCACACTTGTATTCTTAACTAGCTGTTGCTCGGTACTTCGTCCGCGGGAATTAATAAATATAGCCTATGTCACTCAATGATAAATTAGCTTTTTAATCGTGAAAATATATTTAAAATCGGTCCAGTACTTTTTGAGTTATTTCAATACATACAAAAATACAAATCTTCCTTATTTATATTATTAGTAAAGATAAAAATTAGTATAGATTTGATGTTTAAGCAGGTCTATTCAAAATTTGCTTTATTTTTCTAGGTCTATACGGCATACCATTAGTGCTAGCAGTATTTTCGTTGCAACTGTACACAGCAGTTCTACTCGGCAAGAGTTGGCTGTTGGCGTATGAATTGTCGCCGAACATACGAGACAAAAGCAGGTATCTATTATGTTTTAATTGGATTATTCCTTAAATTAAATATTAGCGTTTCGATGTCAGCGCCATCTATTCTTGATTTATTTGAAACAGCGCCATCTATTTTGATTAAATTATATTTCAGATTTCCATACGCGGCGGTTGCTGAATTAGCATTTGGCGATAATGCTAGAAGATTGGTAACGTTTTTCATAGATGCTACTGTTTTTGGTGCAGCTGTACCTAATTTTATATTCGGTAAGTTAATATCAATGTAGTGACTAATTTGCATTTGATGCGGTCCGACCGATTGCTTTTTTTATGTTTGTAGCATCTCAAAGCCTTCAGTTGTTCTGGTGGAAGATATCTGGCGGCAGTGTGGGCGTCACGTACTGCGTGTGGATGGTCGTCATCGGTCTACTACTCTGCCCTATCATGTGGCTCGGCTCACCAAAGGATATGAAGTACGGAACATACATGTTTAAATAGACATGATTTTTCTTGACAATAGATGGCGTTATTTTTAATATGAAGTCGTGTTCTTTAAAAAAATTCCAGATCATGTTCTGTGACATGACTAGCTTTTGTCCGTACAAATATAAACAAAAATAGTATTTTTTTCTTTCAAACTAATACTTATAAATCACGTATCCTAAAATAATCTTATTTCCAGGTCATTAGCGTTGACATCCGTATGCATCGTGGGCACCGTAGCTTTCGCCACATGGTACTGCATACTGACGGATGACGAGTCTCCGTCCAGTTTGGGAGGAGTGCTCGACTACTCTCCTGATGTTAGAGACTTCCTCACCGCTTACGGGATTATAGCCTTTCAGGTAATGTTACATTTATTACTTACTTTTCTTGAGATATATGGCTTATAGAGAATACATCTCTATAGAGGCTTATAGAGATGTATGGAAGAGCAGCACATACTGTGCCGACCCTTCGTAAGGGATAAGGGCAAGTGGATGATGATGATTTTCTTGGTTGTGGTAGTGATAGTGGAAACGGAGTAGTATCTAGCATGTCAATTTCTTGAACGTGCCAGATTCTGGGGGAATGTCAGTAAACTGTTCACGAGATTTCAATATCAAGCTTTGTACCTTGTCACAAAGGATTATTCCCAACCGTCACCCCGCTCTGTCCCCACGTGAGCATAAAAAGTTTCATCCGTCCCATATTTTAGTCCCACTATCACTAATAAGGTGAGAGATGGAACCGTTATGAAATAAAATAAATACCAACCGCCCCCTAGTCGTAAAAGGTGGGACGGATGAAACTTTCCACACTCATCTGTCTCTACGTGGGGACAGAGCAAGGTGATGGTTGGTAATAATCCGTCACAAAATCAAATATCGTTCTAGCGACTTCTATGCCAGGTACTGGCATGCTTACCGTTAGCACATGGGAGTAGTTGGATCGTACAACTTACTTGAAAGAGTGCCAGCTACTGGCATCCCGTCCTAACATAAAGTACAACTTATTTATACTGTATTCTGTTATATTGCTTCAATGTTTGTACTGTATTCTACTGATTTATTTCAGTTCGACATCCACCCGATGCTGTTAACACTGCAGGTGGACATGAAGGATAGTCGGCGCATCAATTCGGCCGTTCTCGCAGCATTCCTCGCTACAGGACTGGTCTTTCTTATCACCACACTCCTCGCCGCTAATCGGTATGGAGATAACGTCGAAAGTAACATATTGCAGGGTAAGTAAGTTAAAATTATTATTACAGGACAACTGTATAATTTAATAAAGCTATAAATAGGGAAGATTTTATTCTTTGCATAGAATAGGTTCCGAAATTACGAAACCGATTTAAAAAATCCTTTACATTATTACTAGACTTAACATTAATTCGAAGGGAAGGGTATAGATACTACAGAAAAAGATATAAAAAGAAATGGAGCGGATCGCCCATAACATTTTTATGATGTTTCTCTCTCTTCTTTCTTTAAAAAAATATTAAATAATGTGAAGAAGTACTTTATTATAATTAATTTTGCAGGTATTCCTCCATCGATTACCCTTTACATTGTCGCTCTATTGGTCACTCTACAACTGTGTCTGTCGAGCGCAGTCGGAAATTCTGCCTTGTTCCAACATCTAGAAGACTTGCTCAAAATACCAAGAAGTAATCACATTTCTTTAAAGAATAATCGGTTTTGTTTTTAAACTGTTATTGTAAAATAATTGTTTTTTTTTTTCAGATTTCTGCATACAAAGATGTCTGATGCGGTCCAGTATTGTCGCTTTAGCGGTATTCTTAGGAGAATCTGTACCCAGATTTGATTTAGTAATGGGTCTCGTGGGTTCAACTTTAACCGGTCCTTTAATGTTTATCTTCCCTCCGTTATTCTTTCTTAAATTATGTTATCTTAAATCGATAAACATAAAACAAGAATTCTCAATGAGTTACAAACCTAAAACATCGGTTTCCGAACGTGAACGTTTACAAGATGGCGTCGATCTGTCAAAATTGCCGCTCGTTTCTACAGAATCTTTACCACATAAATATCAAACATTTGGTAGTTACGAGGAAATATATCGTTCGTATGTTGATGAATATAATGTAAAATGGTATGACGTTTTATTAGCATCTTTAGTTATGTTATTAGGGATGACAGCGACCGTCGTAGCGACGTATTCAAGTTGGTCAGACGCGATATCGTCGGCAACTTTCTCGCCGCCGTGTTTGCTAAATGCGACCGCAGCCGCAAGAAGCTTTATACAAGATACTACATAGATTTTATAACCCTAGTATCAATTCTGACTGTAGTAAAGTTGTACAATGAATTTGTTAAATGTGCACTTGTATCCAATTATTGCTATCTCTGTTTATATTCTAAGAGCGAATGAGATGACAATATAATAGAATAAAGTCACGGTCTTATAGTTCTACGGTTTTGCATATATTGGGGTAACAGTTCAATAACGAATGTGATTGATTACTTTTTTCTTAAATTATGAGATAAACATTATGAAGATTATAAAAAAAAGTTAAAAATCGTTAACGGGTGTCATAATATTTAGTTATTTTGTAAGTGCAATACATTTTTTATGTAACAACATGAAATTGTATGTTATTTATGTGTTCTTGTATGTTTCTTACTAAAATAAGAAATACTTCGTGCATACATAATTAAAAAAAAAACTTAAGTAGCCTCTAAACTTTTCCAGGCAATAATTTATATCTATGCCAACTTTTAAGAAATCCTATTATTTAAAGTTATCCACTAAAAACATCCATCTAACCTTTTGCATTTATCTTTCTGAGGGCTTATCCTACTACTGACTGATAGAGGCTCAGATAGCTTAAAAATGACGTCACACTTTACAAGACAGGCCCTAAAAGTCATAAATGAGAAAATTTCTATAAATGGATGTTTTTAGAAGGTAACTTCTAAACGATTGAAATATAATCTGGAATAACTCAGGCTACTTACTAATTTATTTTAATTTCACGCACGAAGTCGCGAACAAAACCTAGTAACATAAGTAATAAGTAGGATAAGATATTGTAGTGAGTAAAGATTGTTAATAAAACGATATAAGTATGTTTTTTATTTTATTTTTAACAAATTACATAATTATAATCAGTCAAGGAATAAATAAAGAAAACACTTGAAAACAATAGACTATCGTTTAAAATTAAAACAAAATAAACTATAGAGTGTGAGTTTTTACTTTGATCAATTAAAAGTTAAAAGATTTACTCAGAAAGTCTCTTTTTCAAATTGTTATTGTTTAATAACATGAAAAAGAAACCTTTTTTTCTCTATTAAATGACTTTTTATATTATAATTGACTAGGTATTTGTGTCTGTCGACTGATAGATCACTAAAGTATGAGACAGGACAATACGAAACAAAACCGCATTTAGTATTTTTTTTAATTATCATACGAATTGTATTTTATTAATAAGTCTGTGGCTAGTTTGAAAAATTAAAAAAATCAAACTGGATTATTTGCTTTTGAACATCTTAAATAGTTAGACAACTAGAAAATGTTCGGATTTAGTATTTTTTTTTAAATTTATCTACCGAAATAGTATTTTGCTTAATAAGTCTGGTATGTTTATTTAAAAAAAAAATCAAACTAAAGCATTTGCTTTCAAATTCCTTAAATAAATAGATAAGTAGAAAATATTTAAAATGCCAGCTCTATAACTTATTTGTATCACTATATTTGAAAGTAATAATTCGACTATGATTATTTTAAAATTTCGATAGTGACAAAGAGGGTAATATTTGTGTCTTATTCTACCTTTCTGCCGTAAATATTGATTTTTTTATATAAAAATAATTGTAGCTTTGATCTAATGGCCAGTATTATTTTGTCCGTCTGTATTTAACATTAAAAAAAACTGAATTGTATATTCATGAAAACATAACACATTGCACAAAAAAAAAACAATAATAAAATCAGTATATACATTTAAAATAGTTCATTTTCTTACATATTTTTATATTTTTTTTATCGTTATTTTTATCTAAATAAAGTAATATAAATTTATACATATATATCATTTAATAAATACTTTTTTAAATGCATCTCATATAATACATGAATCGGTAACATTAAAACCGTAAACAAAAAAAACTTTAAAATCAATTTGAAACAGAACTAGTAACATTTATAAAACATATTTAAAACTTTATATGTAGCTAGTTTTGTTTTTAAAGATGAAAAAAACTTACTTCATTTATAACATTATATACAATACAGGAACTCCAGTCAAAAAACTGAAAAAAAAAACTACACTAAACCTTTATATCTATACTAATATAATAAAGGGTAAACATACACTACTTAGTTATGTAGGACGAGCTGTTGCCCGCGACTTCGTCCGCGTAGTATTAGAAAACATACAAACTATATAAATTACAAAAAGTTACGTATCCCTCGGGAACCGGACTTTTCTCGGGGATGAAGCTTATCCCATGTGTACTCCACACTTTATTTTATATCTGTGCCAAATTTCAATACGATATGTTGAACCGTTGCAGAACGATCGAGTGAACATTAAAAAACTAAATTAATGAATCCCACGGGAACCGTAACTATTCCCGGGATAAAAAGTAGCCTATGTGTTCTTCCAGACTATGCTCTAAACCAGTGACAAATTTCATAGAGATCGGTTCAGCCGTTTAGGCTACAAACGCTAACAAACATCCATCCATCCGTCCATCCATTCATCGAAACTTTCGCATTTATAATATTAGTAAGATTATTCAAACTAGCTGTTGCCCGCGACTTCGTGCAGACAATATTAAGATAAAAAGTAGCCTATATGTCCGTCTGTCAGCTAGCCTTCAGTGAAAGTCCAGTCGAAATCGGTCCAGCCATTTCGCAAACGCGACTTGCGGACAGACAGACAGACATTTTTTAAATGCAATTTTAGTTATCAGCAAAGCAAATACACCATCTGCCTGAAATCTGGTATTTTTCTTTTGATATTACAGACACTCCAATTTTATTATATGTATAGATAGAGGAATTTTGTAAAAAATAAGTTTACGGTTTTATAAACAACAAAAAAATATGTGGATGAAACTAAACAATCTTACTAATATAAATGCGAAGGTTTAGATAGATGGATGGATGTTTGTTAGAGTTTGTAGCCTAAACGGCTGAAGGGATCTCGTTGAAATTTGGCACAGATGTAGAGGATAGTCTGGAAGAATACATAGGCTACTCAGTTTTTTTTTAATTCCGCGCGGACGGAGTCGCGGGCGAAAGCTAGTATAGAATAAAAACTCACCTTATTTATCTGCAACATTAAGTTTATCAGCGAATACTTTCCTTATTTCCTTCTTGTCTAGTTTTCCCATCGCGTTTCGTGGCATTACCTCCACTAGCAACAGTTTCCTTGGCAACGAATATGGCGGCAGTTTCTTTCCCGCCACATCTTTTATATCTTTCAATGTTAACTTCGCATTATCTTTAGAAACTACTACTGCGGTTACTGCAAGTAAAAAGTACGGTTTTTAATATTTCATTACAAAAAAAAACAACTTCGCATAAAATTTTCGCAAAAAAAAAACGGCTTAACGAATCTGGATGAAATTTGGCATAGATGTAGAGCATGGAAGAACACAAGGGCTACTTATTTTTTTTTAACTCAACGCGGACGGAATCTCGCGCGAAAGCTAGTTTAGCATAAATGTAGAGTATAGTCTGTAAGAACACATATACCACTAACATTTTTTTATAATTTCGTACAGACGGAGTCGCGGTCAAAGTCAAGTCATGCACAAAAATCACAAATACTTACTTATTTCACCGTAAGTATCATGTTGTACCCCCAACACCGCAACATCGACGACATTAGGATGTTCTAACACTGCCGACTCCACTTGTAACGCACTAACTTTGTACCCACTCGTCTTTATTATATCTACAGATGTACGGCCGAGGATTTTAAAACGACCTGATGAATACAACGCGGTGTCTCCAGTTCTAAACCAACCGTCCTTTGTGAAATCAGATGCATTTAATTGTGGCAATCTGTTCCAATATCTGGAATACGGAAAATAAAAACAACGCTTACGACTAATAAAACTGCTTTAAAGCTTGGTTCACACTTGGCTACACAGTAGGACAGTAGCTCAAAACTGTACTAGCATTCAAATGGCATAATGTAAACAGTAAACTGCGTCATTGTGAAGAATCCACTACTGGCCTGGAATACTGTACTGTACTGGCTAAGTGTGAACTAGCCATTATGCGCGGTAAAGCAATACTATTATATAACGCATACGAGCTCTAATCTTACTATTACTACAATTGTGAAAGTTTAGATAGTTGAATGTATGGATGTTTACAAGAGTTTGTAGCCTAAACTGCTGTACGGATCTCGATAAAATTTGGCATAGATGTAGTCTCGAGCACATAGGCTACTTGCTTGTTTTTTTTTAATTGCACACGGACGGAATCGCGGGTTACAGCTATATCATACCTGGTAAAAACAGCAGGTCCTTTTAATAATAATTCTCCTTGATATTCGTTATCCTGACTCTTCTCGTGTACAGTAACCGTCGGTTGCTTCCAATCATTGCCTTCGTTATCCGTGAAGAACTCCTTAGAGCCTGATAATCCTAGTTTATCTAAATATATCTGGAAATCAATATAAATAGAATGTAAATATATAACAAAATACTTTGTTTCTTTTGAAAATCACATTAATTTTATACGTGCGAAAGTTAAGATGGATGGATGTTTCTTGTTTGTACCCTAAACTACTAAACGGATTTCGACTAAATTTGGCATAGATATAAAAGATACCGTGGGAGAACACACAGGCTATTTCCTTTTTTTTATTTCACGCGGAAGGATTCGCGGGCGAAAGCTAGTAACTTTATAAAGAGAATCTCAACATTTAGTAAAGTCCGTAAATATTTCCAGAACGATTGTTCTGTGAGTATTTTATTGGCATGTGTACGCATTGCGTCAGTAGTTGGCATGCCAGTGACTACTTTATTTTACGGACATATGTATTCTTGCCTTAACATTAAAATGTATGTCCTATTTGACCTTATCAACATTTACAAGGTCAGTTGTGGAAGGAGCAGCTGTCCTCCTAACGAATAAAAAATGTAAAATAAAAAAAACTACGAATACCATCTTAAGTTTAACTCCCCTTACATGTAGCAACGATCATAAGGGTCGGAACGTCCATATACTGTATACCAATTACCTTTATAATAGATGAAGCCGTTAAATACACTACAAAAACATATATAACGTGGGTCCTTTCAAGAGTTGGGATAGTAGTCAAGTAGTCAAGCGCTTTAATAAAAAAAAACACTACAAAACTCCTGCACATACCTGATTATCAGGTACTGGCGATTCCACAGTAATCAATGGCTTCAGTTCATCCACTGTCGCTATCCTAGCAGCGACGCCGGGCAGCGGCGCGCCCACGCAGCCCACCTCGCGCTGCTCCACTGGTCTGTACGGGTTGCTAAGAGCCATACCCACTTCGGACATACCGTATCGCTCTAATAAACGAATACCTGATATCTACGGAATTACACGAAACGGTCACTACTTAAAACTAACAAAGTTATGATCACTGATAGAAGTACAATCGGGGAATCTTTCAGTGCATGACACTAAAACCTAGGAGTTTGTACAATAAACAAATCAAATTTTTAAATATTCTGTATGAAATGAAAATATAAAAAGAATAGTCAGGGGTCTACAGCTAAATGCTTTTTTGTTATTGTCCCGTCGTTTACACAACTCTATGATTATCTCTATCTGTAAATGGGTCACTGACAATTTCCACGACTGTACATAAAGCTCCCTCCTCACTACTATATGATGTCCTCTTATTTATAATTACATTCTGAACACACTCATAATAATAACAAAAAAGATTTTTTTTTAAACTAAAGTTATGGAATTGGAAATACAGTATACGATTGTTTTAATAGAAATAACAGAAACAACAAACAGAGAAAAACTCACCTCCTCCCATTTTCTAAACAATTTATCAGGTAATGGCGCGGAGCCCGCACACATCAACCGCATCTTACTAGACAGCGTACTTCGTACATATTCCGCCATCTTGCTGTCAGCGAACATCGTGTCATAGTCCGCGACGAGGCGGGAATACATCGCGGGTACTCCGTGGAACACCGACACCTTCGCCTCCTCTCTCTCTCCCATACCGAGTAAGCGAGACCACACAGCGTGCGATACGAACGAAGAGAGCATGCGTATGCTAAAAAGTTCGTTATAAAATGTTACGTGACTTTTCGGGTTTATCCCACAACTGGCTGTTAGGCTCAGATAGCCTAAAAATGACAGATATGGGAACAAAATCCGATATTTCCATCACATTTTTTACACGTTCGATTATCAGACAATTTACAATTTGGTGACAGAACCTTAAGATTGTAACTCGTGTGATATTAAATTTGGTTAATTATCGCAAAACGGTTGTGCGATTGTCGATTGTTTCTAAAAATCGAGTAGTCTGCATTTCCATATAAGATCATAAGAATCAAAGCGAGACTAAACAGTTTTGCGATAGTTTAGTCAAAGGTTCTCTTAAGAATGTAACATTATTTGATCGTTTTAGAAATTGACATATCAATTTTAATTTCAATTATATTTTCTTTTTGCCAAGATAAAGAAATAGTACTTTTCTCGGATCAAATTTGAAATATTGAAACACAAAATATACAAACACTAGCTTTCGCCCTCGACTTTGTCCGCGTGGTATAAAAAAAAAAACAAAAGTGAGTAGTCTATGTATTCTTCCAGACTATCCTCTACATCTATGCTAAATTTCATCGAGATCCGTTCAGCCGTTTAGGCTACAAACTAACAAACATCCATCCATGTAAACTTTCGCATTTATAATATTAGTAAGATTTACCGTGCTCCAGCGGCTAATGAGGCATTCAAGGAATTCAGTTGTCCATGTATATGGTGTAAGGGCAGCGTATGTAGAACAACATCATTAGCTGAGTACTGCCACGCGCTTTGCAGTGCCGCTATTTGCGTACTGAGCATATTATGTGTCCACACCACGCCTTTAGGTTTACTGGTCGTACCTGGAAGAAATTTCCACTAACTCATTAGCTTTCAGTGACTTACTTCGTGTAAAAGTAAAAAAAAAAGTAGTATCATTTTTCATATTCCATATTGTAATCTATCTATGTAACAAATTCAATTAAGAACCATTCTACCGTTCAGGAGTAACTATGTAATAAACATCCATACATCCATACATCCATGCAACATTTAACATTAGATACATATACTATACTAATATAATCACAGCATATTTTTGAATAATTCTATCTTTAATAAAAAGCCCTACACTTACGACACGCTTTAGGCTATATATTTTCACAATGTTAAAATTAGGGGGTACATAATTTGAAAAAAAAAACTTAATGTGGGAAAGGGACCATAAACTACATACTGCCAACATTAAGGAAGCATGGTTGTTGTTCTAATTTTGATATTTGCAATTAAGAATTTGACAAATGAACACAATAAAAAAAACTTTTTATAATTTCATGCCAATGAAACTGCATAAAACAGCTAGTATTAAATAAATTGATTACAAACAGGTGGCTTTAATAATAAAATATGATAGTAATAAAATCCATGATGTAACAAAAAAAATATCTATTGGATATACATTCATAATATTTTATCAATTTTTATCAAGACTAATGACATTATTATTATCAATATTATCTTGATAATAGCAAATACGTTTACAATACAATCAATTTATATAATCTTCTTAAATTAGTGATAGTACATCACATTTGTGGACTGCCTTTCACACTCGAAGCAGTTCAGTAGTCATTTGTTTATATTTTACTAATAAATCTATAATATGGCGACTCTGACGCAATTAACAGATTTATACAGACGTTGTTTTTGAATTATTTATAATATTAGTAAAACTAGATGCAAGCTTAACGGTTAAGTTGTACATTGTATACTGTCATGTGCAAAGTTGTACATTGTGTACTGTCATATGCAAAGTTGTACATTGTGTACTGTCATGTGCAAAGTTTTACATTGTGTACTGTCATATGCAAAGTTGTACATTGTGTACTGTCACGTGCAAAGATGTACATTGTGTACTGTCATGTGCAAAGTTGTTCATTGTGTACTGTCATGTGCAAAGTTGTACATTGTGTACTGTCACGTGCAAAGTTGTATATTGTATACTATCAGGTGCAAAGTTGTACATTGTGTACTGTCATGTGCAAAGTTGTACATTGTGTACTGTCATGTGCAAAGTTGTATATTGTGTACTGTCATGTGCAAAGTTTTACATTGTGTACTGTCATGTGCAAAGATGTACATTGTGTACTGTCATGTGCAAAGCGCGAGTTCGGTCCCGCTACTTCGTTCCCCGTGAAATTAAAAGAAAAAAAAAGATACAGCCTATATTACTCACAGATAAATTACTTTTCTAAAGTTGAAAGTATTTTTAAAATCGGCCCAGTCTTTGAGCCTCTGCATTACAATCAAACAAACAAACTTTTCATCTTTATAATATTAGTATGATTAATTGAATAAAAATTTACACTTACCACTGGTATAAATCAGCATAGCATCATTCTGTCCATACCAAAAGTTTGATCTTCCAACATCACTTAGCGTTTCTTCCATTTTTGGCTTCATAAAAGTAGTATTAGGTTGATAGAGTTGTGCTGTTACTTCTTTCTCTCTACCAGCTATTAGAAGAGGTGTAGACACTTCTAGAGTAATCGGACGTAACAGTTTCTCGTATTCCTGTGTGCATATCACTAAGCTAGCGGTGCTGTCTGTTAGGAAGTATTTGAGCATATCCGGAGGATGAATTGATGACAGTGGGATAGCTGGAAAAAGCATATCAAAACTTAAATTAAATGTTTACTGTATTTTCACATTAACTAGCTATCGCTCGTGGCTCTGTCCGCATGGAAGTAAAGTCCGCAAAAAACAAAAGCATGTTGCCTGTTTGATCTTCCAGACTATCCTCTATATCTAAGCCCAAATAACATCATCATCCGTTCAACTGTTTAGGCTACAAATTCTAACAAACATCCATCTAAACTTTCGCATTTATAATATTAATAGGAAGTAAGATTTGGATGATTTTAAATGTAATTTCTACATGCAAAAATTGGTCTTCAATAAGTAGTAATATTAAATATTCATTTATAATTTTTACTTACCAATGTTCCCTGTCATCCATATAGCCCACTGTGTGATGACGTGTGACGCGTTGTTACTGCACATGTACGCAATTGTGCGCTGAGTTTCACCCACTGTAAACAAAATGTTACAAGTAACAATTATTACAAATTACAATAATTCATTCATCACCATCATCACTACACATCCCCACCGAGGGTTTGGAGCCTAACCTAATAAAGGGGTGACTAGGCCATAGTCAACCATGCTGGCCCAAGGCGGGTCGGTTGACTTCACACATATCTTTGAATATATATAATAATTAGGAGCGTCGGTGGCTCAGTGGTTTGATCACTTGACTTGTAATCTACAGGTCTTGGGTTCGAATCCCGCCATGTACCAATGTGATTTTCGAATTTTAATATGTACATTAACACAATAATTTACCCGACGTTCTTACGGTGAAGAAAAACATCGTGATGCAACCTGCACATATCGGCGAAGAAATTCAAAGATATGTGTGAAGTCAACCAACCCGCACTTGGCCAGCGTGGCCACTATGACCTAGTCACCCCATATTAGGGTAGGCTCCGAGCCCCTTGGTGGGGACGTATAGTGAGCTGGTGATGATGATGATGATGATATAATAATTAAAATATAATTGAACTAGCTGTTGCTAGCGACTTCGTGATATTAAAAAATAATACAACAGCCTATGTTACTTACAGATTCCTCTTTATAATATTATAATATTATAGATATAAATAGATAGTACTTTTGAGTGCTTTGTGATCCTTCATATAGGGCATCCTAATTTTTGCGGTCGAAAGTGAAAGCATGCCGATGGCCCTGACTTTAAGCTTCGAAGGACCAAAGAGGTTTAGTGGGTATAGGGGGAGAATCCCACATAACTACTGTGTCCCACTTAGGATATGGTATATACATAAAGCATTCCCCGTTGACAAAAAAAAAGGGCACCCTAGTTTGGAAACCAGTCTCCAAAGGCATAAATTAATAATTATATTTTATTTATTGCAATATACTTACACAGTTGTGCAGAAATCTCATCACTAAGCACTGACGCAGCTTGGTGTAAGCCAGCATATGTATAGATTCCAATATCATCTTGTAGGGCAATACGACTAGGAAATAATAGAGCTCTTCTGAATACTGGTACTACACCACCTGGAAAAATTGAAGAAATTATTAATACATCTATACATAGATGACTTTAAGTATAATTTAGTTTATTTAACAGTTTAGGGATACCTGTTTTATTCTTAATGTGGTCTAAATGTCCCTGAGATCTAAGGAAGTCCAGTTAGGACTGTATGTTGCAAAATAAAGTTGAGTCCCAACCGTCACCCCGCTCTGTCCCCATGTGGAGACCGATGAGAATAAAAGGTTATCCGTCCCACCTTTTGAGGCGAGAGGACGGTTGGAACATATTTTAGTTTGTAACGGTTCTATCTGTCCACATTATTGGTGATAGTGATACTAGAAGGCGGGACAGATGAAACTTTTTATTCTCACATGGGGACAGAGCGGGGTGACGGTTGGGAATAATCCTAAAGTTGAGGGTCAAGAAGTTATGCAGAGGAATAAATTAATTTTGAAAATGGGTCTCTAATCACTCTAGCATAATTGGTGACCATATACCCACCACTTGTTTCCACCCTTTCTCTTATAAAAAAATTTCAATATAGGTTTTCAATACAAAAACATTTTCAAGTAAAAGGTTACTATTGATATCATTTATCATAGCATATCAAATCTGTCTTTGCAATAGACAGACATAATTTCATTACATCATAAAATTGATTAAAACGATAATATATACTGGGTCTTTCCACTCATGTACAAGTAACTTTTTTTTTTAATCTATGGAGATAGAAATAGATAGAATTGATGCTAAACAGTTTACTAACTTTTCTTGCAACTTGAATAAAATTACTTAATAAGTAATTTATGTGAGCCAAATGTTATGATCCATCGAGCCCTTTCTTACCTTCCAAGACACACCACAAACCATATAAATCTTAATTACAATTTTTATAGCAAGAAAGAAGGCAATTTTTCTAAGTAGAGCACTGCGAAGGTATCTGACTGTACATGTTTTATCCTTTGAATGTATCTAATATGAGTACGTAAATGAAACATCTGTAAGTTCAACGTCGGTCTAAGACTGGCATTTATCCATATTTTTTACATACCAGAAAAATTCTCCTAGCAAAGGGACTTGGAAACTATATACACTTACCCGCTTTAATATCTTGATTAAACGATGTTAAAAGCTCAGAATTAAGTTCCTCTTTCACAGGAGCAGTCGACGTATACTTATAATTAGCAATACTAACAGGCTTTCTTAAAAGCCGGTTTAAAATACGAATCGAACGAAAGGAATACTCCATTATTTTTAAAGCTAGTTTAGACTACTGGAACTGTTAAGCACTACGCCTCAACTGAGATATATCGCACGTAACAATTAACACGTAGATAAATATTAGATGAAAAAAATAAGAAAGATAAGGTTATATTCTGAGATAGTTTAAGTTTATTATTCTTATCTTTTTTTCTTATGACAATTTCAAATTGACAAATGACAATAGAAAATCATATGACTGTCATGACATTGACATATAGTATACAGTATAAAAACTTTCTGGGAAACGAAGGTAAAATTAATAACTCATACACACAACATATTAGATAAAATCTAATTATCTAAAAAATAAACAAGTGATTCTCACTAAATAACTAATTAGATCTTTACAGAGTCTGTCTTCTTATAAATAACACCACGGTTCAATTTACCAGTTTGCAAATTCACAGTTGTCAAACTTCTGCCAATGTCAAAGGCAAGAGGAAAAATCAATACAAATACAAAACAAACTACAAATATTTAACATTTAGTTCTTACGGGCAAATATGCATAGTAGTATAACGTTTAAGTTTTAAATATAGTGGTTCAAATGCTGTTTAAGTATAAGTAAAATATATAGACATGGTGATTAACGCACCAGAATCGCCTATACAGGCTGAAATCATATTTGTAATTGAAGCTACATCAGCTAACAGCGCCTATATAACTGAACTACGAACAAATTATATCATTCCCACATTAGAGTAAGTATTGCAACAATTTCATTAATGTATCCAACACTTTACAATGTTTTCTCGCATTGTTTTACATCTGTACAGTTCTACTGAGTGTAGTACGTGTACCGTCAACAAAAAAGTCGTATGGATGGGATTGGGATGAATGTTATGTCGTTTTATGAGGAGGGAAGTTATGCATTTGATGTGTGTACAACACTGGGATACCTAAGTGACATGATCAAAAAGGGCATCTTGACTGAGGTGACGGAAACTCGATGTCTAAGTTGGAAAATAACAGGGAGATATAGATACAAAATATAACATACAAATGAGTATTAGTGAACATATATCTTTAATGCATGTTTTTTCTGTATAAGGACTTGTCCCACTAAATTGTAAATTTTGTGATAATCAAACATGTTAAATATGTGAAGGAAATATCCATTTTTGTTCCCTTATTTGGCTGTGATGTCACATAAGCTATCTGAGCCTCTATCAGCCAGTGGTGGGACAGGCCCTTATTATGGTAGAAGTATCAGGAAGGACTAAAAAGAGATGACATTAAGAAAAAGTTGATTATGGCATGAATAACTGATAATTGCATTTTTTGCATAGATTAAACAACAAAAATCGTCTTCAGAGAATAAGATAAAGTAAGCTAATCTTAATTCAAAATTTAAATTGTTTATTAAGTGTTTGGAAAGCCATCTTATTGAAAATAGCCCATGATTAGAGTATTTTATTTATATACAGTATGTTATGTATGTATGTGTTCTATATAATTAAACACATAAAAATCTTATTAAAACTTTCGTGAGTCATTATACTATATGATTTATAACACGGCTAAAACTTACGTGGGAACTTTCAGTGTAGGCACCGACCAGTTTCAAACCCGTAGGGAGTCCTTCTTCAGGGTGAGTGGATGCCTTTATTCGCTGGTCAGTGCCTACACCGAAAGTTCCCACGTGAGTTTTAGCCGTGTTATAAATCATATAACATTAAAATCTGTACAACTATAGTACACTCTACATAAACTTGTATCACTGCACCGTTTGTCCGTGACAAACCAATCATATGGATTTTGCAGGCCATATTTGTGTAAATACACAATTAATTGTGTAAATAAATATTTAGATTATGTTATTTTGTATAATAATTATAAGTATATATAAGATAATGAATTCATTAATTTTTATTTCTAGATATTTTCATGGAGGTGCCATAGAGGAAGGTGGTGGATGTGGTTCAGTTTACGGGATAGTTGCATACAAAGCAGCAGATTGTCACCCCAGTCTCCCTGTCACCACATATGGACCATTTACATGTCCAAAGAATGTTATTGAGGAAGTTGACAAATTACAGTTAGTAGTAATTATTCTTTCATATTAAGACTAAGTACAAAAAAGTGCCTTCATTATCAAGCCAAATGTTGTAAACCTCTGCTTTTCTTTGTAAGAATGAAGGAAAAATTGCATGCAACCTACACATGTAAAGTAATTTAAAGATATGTGTAAATTCAACCCTTATTGGGCCAGCATCGACTATGGCTTAGCCGCCCCTAATTCTGGGTTAGCTCTAAGCCCATCTATAGAGATGTTCTGAGATGTCACTACCAAGCTGTTGCTTGAGACATCGTCCGCTTTAAAATAAAAAAAAGTAACGAATTAACTTATTGAATTTTACTTATTGATAATGTTGCTTTTTATGGTGAAAAATGTTTTAAAATTTGTCCGGAAGTTTTTTAGTTTCAATAAATATAAAAATCCAAGTCTTTATAATATTAGTATAGATATATAAATTTATTTTTCAGCTACACTGGTGGTTGTGCGGAGAACCGTGCTTGTGTCACCGAAGCATTATCTACAGCATTATCTTGTTTAGATGATCTGGGACGCACTGATCTTCCGATGCACATATTACTGTTGTGTTGTTCACCTCCTTATTCTGCATATGCCGGAGGTTTAGTACCACAGGGTAAGTTGAAATACTTCCTGAAGTTATAAGTGTGACCATTTAACTATTAAGTATACTTAAATTAGACTTATTATGTCCCCTAATAATATAGTCCTGCTAACTGCGTGGAATTAAATAAAAAAAAACAAATGCAGCTAGCCTATGTATTTTTCCAGACTATCCTCTACATCTATGCCAAATTTCATCAAAATCCGTTTAGCCGTTTAGGCTACGAACTCTTACAATCATCCATCCATCCATCTAAACTTTCGCATTTATAATTTGAGTAAATTAATAATATAATTTCTCTTGTTAGTACAACTTTTTCAATTTTTAAATTAAATGTTAGTAACAAGAACTGTAAACTCTGCTTGTCTATTATACCATGTTAAAGTATTGTATTGTAAAAAATTGCGTTTGAACTTATAACAGTTTACATAGGATGCATTTAAACTCCAACAAGGGTTACACTGGTGTTTTAACTGGTTAAAACCCTCACACTATTATATTACACTATTATACACTCACAGTATGAAAGTGTGGAATGAGGTTAAAATTTTACAGGAATAAATATATTATTTAACGGCTAGTAATGACCAAAATCAGTACGTAATTCTAAGAGGTCTGTGAGACATGGTATTAGTAGTAGGGGTAATGGTTTCCGCAAGTCCATGGCTAGTGCGCATTTTGCGTGAGAACAGGACATGGATTTCTCCAGCCTACCCAGCTCTCCGAAGAACCCCAGCAAACTCTTTGTGTTGCTGGTGATCTCCGGGAACGATCTCAGTGAACATTTTAGTCCCTTTCCCTTTTCACCCTTTTCTTAAAAGGAAAGGATGGGAAGGAAAAGTGGATTTGACAGTGGAGAAGATGCATAGAAAGGGGAAATATCCTCTTTATGTGCGTCTCCTCCTCCGTCAATTAAGGGTAGGCAACGCATCTGCAATTGCGGATGTTTATGGGCAGCGGTCGGTTTCCATTTCGGTGGATTCAGGTGGTCGTTTGCTCGTTTGCCACCTTATATTATAAAAAACATAACCCTGTAAGACATAAGTGTTTGGGACTATAGGTGCTCCGGCAACAATAGAACAAGCAGCGCGTTTAATAAACGACCGCGGTGCCCACCTGTCGATAGCCTCGGCTAAACGACTCCCCGCACTACTGGCTCTGTACGAACATGCGGGTGGAGAGCTACACCAGGCACAGCAAAGGAATTATGCTAAGGTAATTATTACAGAATCTAACTATACTAATATAATAAAGCGTAAACACACTACTTCGTGGCGTAAGATGTCAGCAATCACTGTACGGTGTAAACACCGCACAATACATGTTTTTCGTGACTAAGAGTTTTCAAGTGTTATAACACGCGCGATAATCGTTCATAACCAGTTCACGTAGAATCACCATAGCGTTCGCGTGTGCTCATTAACATTCTCACCCGTAGTTCTAAGAATAAACGACTATATTCTTCTTTAACTACGGAGTTTTATTTGAATGTACGGATACACCGTACAATCACAGTATATTTTTGTAATACTAATGTTATAAATGCGAAAGTTTAGATGGATGGATGTTTGTTAGAGTTTTTAGCCTAAACTGCTGAATGGATTACGATGAAAGTTGGTTTAGATATAGAGGTCAGTCTGGAAGAACACATACGCCATTCACTTTTTTTTATTTTCACGCGAACGGAATCGCGGGTGAAAACTAGTTTTTGAATAATTCTTTCTTTAATCAAAAGCCCTTACGACACACTTTAGGATATATATTTTGATGCTATTAAACTTAGGGGGTAAATGGATTTGAAAAAAACTTCATATGGGAAAGGTACTATAAACTACAAGGTGCCAACATAAAGGAAACAAGGTTGTCATTTATGCAATTTGAATTTTGACACTTCACAAATGTAAACAATAAAATAAAATATTTATAATTTGATTCGGATGAAGCCGCACGTGAACAGCTAGTAATTTTATAAAGATTTGTATTTTTGTATGTAATAAGTAACCCCAAAAAAAAACTAAACAGAATTTCAAAAATTCTTATCCTAATAAAAAACTTACTATTAAAAAGAATGTCAACAAGAAACATTAGCTACTTCCATGATACATTATTTTGTAATGGTTGGACATATTAGTGTGTATTAAGATTCAAAAAAAGTGTGTTGAAACAATATTGGAGTACTAAATATTATTACTAAGTATGTAAGTATGTTTTTTGAGGACCCGCGGCACCTGGTGCTGATGCGGGGCTACAGCCTGAAGGAGCGGCCGCCGAGCCCCGCGCCGCCGCCCGCGCCTGACGTACAGCCTGATTTGTATGGGTGGGTTTTAATCAAAGGCATTTAAACAATTTATAAACTATATATTTATAAATCCTGTTCCCGAAATAAAAAAAGAAATATATAAATTACATATGGGGAAAAATATTTTTTCACCGGTAACTACTTTGTATGGTAATATCTCGATTTAAACTATCTGGTACCAAGTAGTTAGATTACGTGAAAAATGTTTCAAATGAAGAATGAATCATACTTCCTCTTCATATTTCTTTTGTATCTCTTTAGATTTAATACAGTCCTGTGTGAGAATTATTATTATACTTTGTGAATTTTATAAATATAAATTAAGCAATATTTTGCGAGTTGAAAAAAAGATTATCTACAGGCAAAATTACTGCTCAAATCATCTGGAGTTACACATTTTTTATATTTGAGACAGCTTTTAGTATACAATACCGGTTTTAGCATTACAAGCGCCCTAGGCAAGTTTACTTCACCTCCCTTTAATGACATACTTTGGGGGGCATACTTTTTGCCCCTCATTGTGTACGTTGCCCTGGGCGACTCTTTTTTGATTTGTTGTCCAACATTATCTGTTTATTGAAGTTTCCTTAGTAATTATGTAGTTAAAAAATTATGGATGGGTATAGAGGGGCGCGCGCGGCCGCAGCGCCACCGCGCGGGCCCGCCGCGCCGCAGTTCCAGCGCGACATCCGCGCGGCCGTGCGCCCCGGCTGGATGGGCGTGCGGCAGCCGATATACGCCAACAACTCCGCACTGCTCACACAGCTGGCCCAGCCCTCGTATCCCCCGCCTCCGCCCGCGCATCCCGTACAGGTATACTATCTATACTATTATAATAAAGCGTAAACACACACTTCTATGTTGCATAAGATGTCAGCAATTACACCATATTTTTGAATAATTCTTTTATTAATAAAAAGCCCTACACTTACATAATGCTTTAGGCTATATATTTTCACGCCATTAAACTTAGGGGGTAAATATTTTGGATAAACACCCTAATGTGGGAAAGAGACCAAAACTTGCTGCCAACATCCAGAAGGAAAGATTGCTAAGGTTTGTTACGTCATGTCATGTCATTTTGACATTCGCTATTGATAATTTGACAAATGTAAACAATAAAATAAAGTTTTATAATTTCACGCGGATGAATCCGCCGCCGAACAGCTAGTAAAGAAATAATTAGTACGTTCCATGTTACGAATAAAATTAGTACCGTGCTATAGAATTGGCGCAACTCCACATTATCGGCATAAAATTTACGTCCCTAGCTGACAGCTGTCCTTGTCATTAGAAGGATGGATAGATTGGCACGCCTCCTGAGTCCCGACGAGAACTGTTTCTCTGAGTTTAAAGCGATAGTATCAATTAAATAAGTTGTATTTAGTATAGTAGTATATATATATTAAGTATCTTAAGTGTAATAACTTGAGATACTTGCTAATGGGTGCTATACTTAGTACGAAACATAACGATTTTACATTTAGTATGTACATTACATAGTGCTTTCCATACTTAGTACGTACTATGAGTAGTAACTGCCACATTTAGTACGTATCATATTTAACGGCGTACTAAGTACCGTATTGCGAGTCGTACTTATTATGTACCAAATCTAGTACAATATTTAGTACTATCATACTTAGTATGTATTATATTTAACAACCGTATTTTGTACCGTGCGTAATTCATGTCTTAGTATGTACCATGCTTAGTACGTATCGTATTAACAAGCGTACTTATATGTTATGTACCTTAGTACGTTTTATACTTACGTATTGTATGCCAGGATAATACGAAGTTCAGTTATTAACCTGTTGAAATGAATCTTCATTGTCAATGCCATCTACCATCTTATTGCAGGGCCCCGTGCAGCGTATGCCGGTTCTGCTGCAGCAGACGGCGGGACCTTCAGCAGGGAGTGCAGCACCGCCGCTGAAGAGGACCTACATCTGGTCAGGTATCCTCGAGTGGATGGAGAAGGGGAAAACATCCGGTGATCAGCAGAAGGTCACCAAACATCTGCCTTGCCAGGTTAACATTTTACTAACTTTTAATTAAGTCCGTGTTCTTACAGGCTATGTCCTACATCTGAACCAAATTTTATCCAAAGAGTTTAGGCTACAACCTCTAACAAACATCCATTTATCCAAATGCATTTATAATGCTAGTAATATATCTTTATGTAATAAGTAGTGGTAGTGCCCGCTTTAATATCTTAGCACTGCAGGGCACGCCCCCAGTAATACCGCGACCACACAGAAGACAGCCGTCAAATGGAAGCAATTCCGTATTTCGTCTGATGAGTGTGGTCCCGGAGGCCTAATTTAAGTCCCTTTCTCTTTACCACCCTTTTTTTATAAGGAGAGCTTGGGAAGGGGAAGTGGATTTGACAGTGGAGGAAATGCATAGGAAGGGGAAATAAGCTCTTTATGTGCGTCTTCTCCTCCGTCGTATAAGGGTAGGCAACGATTCTGCAATTGCAGATGTATATGGGCAGCGGTCGTCTCGCCGTTTTGGCGGATTCTAGTGGCCGCTTGCTCGTTTGCCACCTTATGTTATAAAAAAATATACTTTTTTTTCAACAGAAATGAGAATTTATGACAAATATATATATCTAAACAATTTTTTAACAGTTTTGTATAAACATTGTTTCGAATAATTATCTGAATTTATACGATCCAAAGGGAATGCCCATTACTTTGTTCGGTGGTCTGATTGGTTCAACGGGAAACATCCTGTAAGGGGACTAGTGAGGTGACATTCTATTTGCATGTTATATCTGAGTTTCATGATACAGTTTTAACGTAGTTTTTATGTGTTTTTTTTGTGTTGTAGGTATCAGCAAACTCCAAGGATGTGGAACCCGAGCTGAAGGTAGAAACATGGCCGAGCAAGCTGCTGATGCAATTGATGCCGAAGCAGCTCATCAGTAACATCGGAGGACAGTACTTGCGTGACAGCAAGTCAGTGCTGTTCCACTTGCAGCCGAATGAGGCAGTTGACGCACTCACTAAAGTCATGGTTAACGGATATGTGAGTACGGTCCCTAATAAAACTGTTTTAACTTACTATTTCATTTTTCGTATTGATATATTTTACATAAAAATTGCTTTGTTGAATTTAAATATTAAAACGATTGTAGTTATTCATAAATTATATGTTACTTTTTTCTCAAGAATAATATTGAAATTTAAACATTTATATTGTTCTGGTATTTAAAAAATGAATTATTATTTCTTTTTTTTTGTGCCAAACTAATTGTCAATTAAAAAAATAATCTTAGCCAAATAATTCGCGATCGCCATAAAAACAACAAATTTTAACACCTAAATTCAGTGATGTCACTATAATATTAATAAATGTATACATATATAAAATAATAACTCATAATAATATATAAGTTCATCAGAAGCATGTTTCCCGTTGGACCTAGTTGAATGTTTCAACGGGAAACAGTTGTCTTATACCGTGTCCATTGTTACAGGCGGGTTGTGTCCACTTTTCTCCGATGTCGTCTCCCCCTCAGTGCGACATCAAGGTGCTGATCCTCCTCTACACTCCTGACAAGAAGGCCTACCTCGGCTTCATACCTAACAACCAGGCCACCTTCGTTGAGAGATTGAGGAAGGTAAGCCTTTGGACAATTTTTAACATTTTACAACACAATTTTAGCCTTCCTTATGTAAGTGGTTAGTTGACTTCTATGAAGAATTAAATTTACCCCAATTTACTGCTGTATAAATAGTTTTCTAGTAAAAGTCTTATCAAAATTGTACTTACTTAGAGAAATGAACCTCAACAAATTGTTTGTTACAATGTAGTTATGCACCTGTTGGCTAATTTATCTGTTTTGTGTATACTTGTTCTATTTTCTTATGTAATTGTGTGATTAAATTAGCTGTTGTGTATACTTATATGAATAAATAAATAAATAAAAAATAAAAAAAATCAGTCTAGTAAGATAAGAGACATAAGACTAGAGATTACCCGGAACAAAGTGTTTGATGACAGACAGATTAAAATTAAATAAAACGGAAATTTGTTACATTACAAATACATCATTTTAGCGAAATATGATTTTTTTTAAAAATACTATAAGTGCGTGTGCACACCTGAAACTAAACTATCGCACAACTGTTTAGTCTCGCTATGATTCATATGAGCTTATATGGAGCGCACACTTCTCGATTTTTAGTTGTGCAACTAAACAGTTGAAGTTACAAAACAATCACACAACCGTTGTAGGATAGTTTAGTCAAAGATGTACTCACGCTCTAATACGTAATTTTATGTTTCAAATATTCAAATTTACAACCTACATTAAAACATCAAAAACTTTTTTTCAATATCACAGATACTCCAATTTCACTATAACCAAAATAGTTACTCCGTCTCTTTCTATCTGTTTGTATTTGAGTGAGAAAGTTGTTTCCTCAGGTGATCCAACAGCAAAAGATAACGCAAATAATAAAGCAAGGCCCCGCGGCTGCAGCCGGCGCGCTCCCCGCTGCAACTATCGCCGGTTAGTAATAATTGTACTATTGTAAACTAGTTTTACTAAAATTCTATCTCATTTTAATGTATTTCTTTATTTTCTTTTCTTTATGTAGACGCTAAATAAATTGTAATGATGTAATGGGAAGGAAATGATTCTTGTGACACACAGCAACTTACTACAGTAGCCAAGGCTTCCATTAAATGTATACAAAAGTGAATGAATAAATTATTATTGAAAAAAAAAATGTTTATTTTTAGAAAAAATTCCACAAAGTTAACTTAACTTACATTTTTTTTACACAATAAACTAGTCCCAATAGTTATAAATTATTATTATTATTGTAACTAGTTTCCGTGGAATTAAAAAAAAGTAAACCTGTTCTTCCAGTCTATTCTCTACATCTATGCCAAATTTAATCGAGATCCGTTCAGCGGTTTAGGCTATAAACTCTAAAAAACATTCATTTAAATTTTCGCTTTCAAAATATTAGTAAGATTAGTTATATGGGTTATAATTTTATGGTTTAAAAATTATCTTGCATTTTTTAATTTATCTATATTACTAATGCTAACCATATCCTAAATAGTTAGTAATATTTATTGTAAAATAAAGTACATTGTATGGGCAGCAGGTGGTGCAGGCATGCCCACGCCGGGTATGTCATCTAACATGGGCGGGGCGCTGAGCAACGCGCTGAACGTGGGCG